GCTTTTCGGACAAGTGCACAGCAATGACACACAGAGAATAGCAACTACCCTGGAGAGCCTATGGGCCATAACAACCAGTTGACCAATCAACACAGGGGAAGCCCTCCAAGCCTGGAGGCACACCAATCCTGAGCCTGTGCTACCCCTAGACACTCCCCTTACACTGCCCTATAAGATCTCTATGCAGACCCTTCGAGGGGTCTTTTCTAGCCATCCACCATGGCGGATGGGTGAAAGACCTGAGCTAACATGGGGTTAGCTCGTTAAAAACTTTAATAAAGCCTCATGCAGTTTGCATCAAGCTTTCAAATCCACCTGGTGATTGGGGTGACCGTGGTCCTGGGCCGAGATCCTGGAGGCCTGAGCTTCTGGGGGTCTTACAAATGTAGAGAGCATTATGGAGTTGAGAGTTGAGTGGGTAGGGAGGGGGGATGAAGGACCAAAAATTCAAATTAATAAAAGTTTAAGAACTTAGGGAACCTCTAACGATAAAGGAAAATTTAACTCCTTAAATCAGGAGTGCCACAACTGGAGCCTGATCCCCTGCTCTCAGAGAAGGAGAGGTAACTGTCCACCACTCCTGTTAACATTCCTTTGCTAATTGCTGGTCATAAAGATTCCCCAGCCTGGGGGGTAACTGACAGACTCTGTGACTCTGTAACCCTGAAGGCCCATGCCCTGTCTTATCTCAGTCAAATGTATCTCCCTTGAAATGTGTAGTTACTGAGTAAGTAACCATGAAAACTCTGTAATTTGTGGCCCTCAATTGAAGGACTCCAGCCTAAGATGTTTTCTTTGCAGCTACCTAAGAATCTGAACTTATGACCTTAAGGTTGAGGAATTCCACCCTGACAAATGGAACGAGCCAATCAGAACTGTTACCCTTGCCCACCCTAGACCCCATCTGTTTGCAGTTTTTGCCTTTAAGAAGCCCCTAGACTCAAGCTTGAGCTCGGAGTCCAGCTCCTCTGCTCCTGAGTGAGTAACGAGTTGGGTCCCAGCGCCAGTTACTAATGAAGCCTCTTGCTGTTTGCATCAAGTCCTCGCCTCTGCCTGGTGACTGGGGTTGCCTCATTCCCAAGTGTTCGCCCTGGGATCCCACCCCTGGGGGGGGTCTTTCAGGGAGGGTCTTGGAGAAGTTGGGGGAAGGGAAAACCATGATAAAAACATATTGTGTGGGAAAAAAATTTTAAAGCCACTTGCTGGGGGAGAAAAATCTTATTAGTGGAGTACCTACAAGTTTTGCAAGTAGGTCAGGGGATGTGGTTTTTGGGAGTCATCAATCATGTAGGCATGGGCTTTTCAGTGACGCAGCTGCCTGTATATGTCAGAAAAATATTCCAAGATCCCAATTAGCCTGCCCCTTGATAAGCTCAGAATATTAACCCATCTCAGCAGGCAAGACCCCAGTCTTCATCCGGTTTCTGCCGTGTGAAAGCCCCTAGACCGGCAGCTCACTGGGCTTTTCCTGTTGTTGAAAGTACCTCTTACTTTTCCTGGCCTTGAAGGCTTCACTTTAAAAAAGTCTTTCTCTAATAAAACTCCACTTAAATTCATCCTTCATTGCCTGTGAACTTCAGCCAAGTTTGCTAGGTAAGAAGTCACTGACCTAGGGGGAATTTGGCATGGCCCTGAGTGACCTGTACCCTAACTCCCAAGTAAGCCCCTCAGGAGACAGTCTCTGTCTTTCTGAACCTTTCTCCTATTCCCCTGGCTTTCATACACACAGTGCAGCACTTGCAAATGTCTGCCACCTGCTGGTGAGGTCTCCACACTCAGGGGAAGGCCCTGATCATGGCTGTTTATCTGCAATAGCCAGTTTCCTATCACCAAATGGTTGCATGACTTGCTTAATTGACTCTTGAAAATTTTGCAGTTGTTCTTAGGAGTGTGAGTCAAATGCTGTGTACAGCATGGAACTCTGTGGACTCTGACTTACATATATTACCGCATTAAGACAATGTATACCAGGGATTAAGGTTACTCTAAACTGGAGGAAGAGAAAGGCTAAAGCTTGGTGTCAGCCAGAAGAAGAGCTTGCCTTGCTAACCTGTCAGGTTAGCAGGACAGACTGGAGCTGAGATAATGATGGGTCAGTGATGACTAGGACCACATCTTGACCATAACTACTTAGTTATGTGTAGTCCTTATCGTATACTTAAACACCAAAGGTGGGTTTGGAGGAGGTGTCACTGACCCTAAAAACTGATGTTTGCAGCCAAAACCTCCTTATAGGCAGGAGGTGGTGTTGCCAGGATGTAGGTGGGCTCTTCAGACCTCAGCAGAGCCCACAGACTTTGAAGCTATAAGGGTTACATGACTGGGAGTAGGGTTCAAGAGTCTTTTTACACCCCCCCCCGTCCCCCCTTCCTCTCTGACCTTAGAAAGAAGGCCACATGGCCTTGTACTCACAGACAATCCTCCCCAGACCAGGTGCCCTGATATCCCCACCAGAGGAAGGTTCCAGTATAGTTGAGGGTTGACTGCAGAGACGATATAAAACATGCCAATGAGGATCTGGATGCCCTGTGGGGAAATCAGAGAACAAACTGGTGAGAGAGTGTGTCAGGGCCTATAAAGAGGGGTCCATTTTATCTTGCCTCAAGATCAGAGAGTTCAAAACTGTCCTTATAAGTTTATAGCTTGGCTACTGCAGGATGTTTCAGCCTTGGTAGCGATGTCTTTATCTGAATAACAACAGACTTGGGCTCAGGTGTGTTTATCTGACCCTGAAGGCCAGATGGCAGGTGTGCCTACCAAATGCCTGGAGGATTAAGGGAAGTAAGTTTGTTTGCCCCTTATACATGGTAATAGAAGTCTTCTGCCATTGTCCCCACTTTTGGTTGGATACTTAAGAATGTTGAAGAATTGTCCTCCTGAGATCTATCCTGTCTCTCCATCTTTTCCTTAACTCTTTTAGCTAGCCTTTCTTAGTCCACACCCTCCTTCTCAGGGACGAACCCTGGGCAAGTCAGCTAGCTCCGACTATAGCCTCGCAAAGACAGCTTCCCACAAGAGTGGAGCCGGGCTGAGGGCTGCTGGGCTGTCCTTTACCACCGTGGCTATGCTCCAGAGCCACCTGAGGTATCACTGGTATTGGGGTTCACTTAGACCAACATCTAGACTAGACTGCTCCTGTTGAAGTCTGTTCTAGGTGTGTTTTAAGGTTCCACAGGTGGTACCAGTGGTACCTTGGGTAACAGAAAGGTTTAGAGCAGTTTGTTTTTTGAACTTGGATTTCCAAATGCCTTCACATAGTTGGCTACCAATTATACACATCTCACTGGTATTAATAACAGGATAAAAAACAATACAGAATTACAGTGCTAATGTAACATTACCACATCACCTTCACACATACAATTAAAAATCTCCCTTGGTCCTTGGGATAGGCATTTGAATTCCTGATACAGTTTTGCAGACTTTAGCCCAAGAGGTGGCTCTGTTAAATTGGGGCTACAAACAGTGCTTTCTGTTCTTGGCCCAATCTAATCTATTTCTGCAGATAGACTAGGAGGGAGGGGTTGGGGTATGTATTAGTCCAAATGGGATACCAAATGCTGGGTAATTTGAAAAAAAAAAGTCTATTTAGCTCACAGTTTGGGACTGTCAGTTTAAGCTGTATAAGGCTGGCTCTGGTGAGGACACTCCTGATTGTGTCACTGCATGGTAAATAGTATCATGATGAGAGTACAGGCAAGAGGGGGAGATTATACAGTGAGACAGAATGCCAGAGGGGTTGGGGCCAGTCTTGCTCCCATGAGAGCTAGCAAGATTCTACAAGGACTAGCCCAGTGACATACACTTCCCACTAGGCCCTACCTCTCAGAGGCTCTCTGGCACCCCTCAACATCACCATACTGGAGACAAAGCTTCTGACATATATGAAGCCTTGCCAGGCATAGCCTAGCCGTATCCCTGTTAGAGTAGGGTTTTGATGAGTCTGTCTCTTTCTTGAACCTGACCTTGTCTTCTCACCTCTAGGAGGGTTGTGACCTCTCAAATGAAGCTAGGTCACCTGCACTCTTTGAGCAGCAAAGCTGTGCATATATCTTCGTGGATATTGCCAAGTTACAATAGCTATAACGAAATACCCACTCCCCCACCCCTGGTCTTTGAGGACCATGTGTTGGTCATCTCTGAATCGGTCTCCTCATAGAGTGTCCTCCATGCTGAGTGAGCGAGTGCATTGAGATGGTGAATTTGCTATAAGCCAGTCATCCCGTGAGCCAGTCATTTTGCTAGGAGTTGGCTGGCATCTAGTGGAGCATAGGACTGGTCTCAAAAAATAGAACAAAGTTGAGCTTTTCAAAGTGTCAAATGATACTAGAGGATGCAGGAAAGAGGCAGGAAAACCCTTGGTGGAAGAGGAAGTCAGCAACCTCAGAGCTCGTGGGATCTAGAGGAGCTTACTAGATCTTATGATAGAGAGGCAGCTGCTAGGGTCTAAGAAGCCTTCGCCACTCGCCCCCGTCAAAGGTCTTTCTAGTGAAACTGCCATTGACCCTCACCCTGATAACTAGGAAAGGATAGCTGGTCCATTTTATAGCCTTCCTAAGAGCCTATAGAATGAACTGGGAGCAGAGGAATACAGGGTGGGACTGCCATTTGTGGGCTTGTCCCAGACCTAGCCTTTAGAAGCTGCTACCCTCCTTTGCCCAGAGGCACCAGAAATGGGCTTACAAAGTTGGAGAGATGACATTGTACTCACCCCCAATGTTCTGACCTCTTCATTTATGAATTTCTTGGGATCAAATTCAGGAAAGGATATAAAGGACATATTCCACTGGGGATTGCTTGAGGTCTGTGTTGGCCCCGGGACAGTGTTCAGGGGATTCTGAGGGTCTCCAGGTAGGACCTGGACACTTGTTATTTCTGGTGAGTACTGGATCACTCCTGGTGGAGGCTGCACACCAGCCATTCTCACTGGATACTGTAGCACAGTGGGTTGGACCTGCAGGCCTGTCATTCTAGCTGGATTCTGGATCACAATGTGTGGGCCCTGTAAGTTCGTATTCCCTGTATTGTACTGGTGCACAGTTGCTGATGCCTGGTAAGTGGCCATTTCCAAAGGCTTCTCTTGGCTTCCAGAGGCCACAGCATGTGTAGGCTGGATGACATGGCCATTACCTGGGACAGTAACAGCAGAAACAGTCTCCTGTTTGATCATGATGTAGAACTGCTACAAAACACACAAGACACAATTTTCACTGATAAATCAACAATCCATCTAACCCCTCCTTAAGTCTGTCATTGTCTTCACAAAAATGCAAGCCCCAAAATGTACAAGGTAAGTGTCTCCGTTCCCTGGGAGTCCATGTTCTGGGAATTCAATATTCAAATGATTTGAGCCTACTTGAAAATCTAGTTCTCTAACAAATTTTTAATTTAATTATTTATGTGTATGGGTTTTGCCTTCATGTATGTCTGCAAGCCATGAGTGTGCCTGGAGCCTAAAGAGGCTAGAAGAGTGCCCTGGGCCAGCGGGGCACCACGTGAGCTCACATCCCAATGTGCCACAGCACCAGAGTACCTGGAATGATGGGTCAAAGAGACATGAAAAACAGACAGCAAGATAGGCTTTCTGATCAAGCTGCAAAATTTTATTTTTCTCAGAGACCTTATATAACAGGTGAAGCAGGAAAGACTTGGTGGGGCAGGAAGAGGTTATTGCCTGGTACATGAGTCCTTGGGGGTATACAGGATAAAGGAGGGGCGGGCAAGTGGAGAGGTGTAAATAGAGCAGGTTGTTAGTAAGGTGAAGAGGTTGCAGGAGGAAGGGTGGTAGAATAACCTGACCTTCTTTGTTAACAGCTATTTTCCAAGAGCTTCTTTCCTAACACTTTTGTGAGCCCGTTTATAAAACAACTATTTGTTTAAGCCTGTTTGCCAACCTCTATTTGTGCAAGCCTGGCTTCTCTTATCAGGAAGCTGAAGGCAGCCATTCTTTTAACACAATGGGTTATTCCTAAAATGCTGGCATCCTTTTACAAGAGATTCTCCGAAGCAGCCCAATTCTCTTCACAGGTCTAAGGTTACCTGTGCCATGGCTCCTGGCAGAAGAGGGTGTCAGATCTTCTGGAACAGGGATTATAGATGGTTGTGAGCTGCCATGTGGGTGCTGAGAACTGAACCATGTGGACACTTTGTTGGCTTGTGTTCAACTATATTTCAACTGCTATTATAGGGTACTGGGGAGTCGGAGGGTGGCCCAACCCTTACTAGCACATGGTTTCCATCTTCCAGTGTTTGGGGCTGCTGGAAGAGAACAAGCTGATTGTGGTTCTGAGTTGACCTCTGATGAGGTAGAGCTGGAGGATGTCTTAATTTTCCTGTGCTGATGAGGAAGGATGTGTGGCAGGAGGCAGGCAGCCTCCTTAGCACAGTAAAGACGTGGTAGAAATATTTCCCATTTAGATGAGGAAAAAACTCACCTGTCAACATTCACTTACATCTAATCTTATAGCAGATTAATTGTACACTCCTTGCTGGCAGGATGTCAAATGCTACGGCAAAAATAATATGAACTATATTCTAGAAATATGCAAATGGAAGCTTTCTGGCCTCTTTAAATGGCAAATACAAAGTAAATCCATTCTAGTGCTTCATGGTATGGTACCAGCCAGCAGGTACCAGAGGGAGGAAAATACCCAAAAAGCTGACATCAACTTGACTCTAGTGCTGGCTGATGGACTGGCACTATTCACTACTAACCATCCTGATGATGAACCCACAGGCAAGGCAGCAACAGAGTCCAGAGGTCAGACAGCTCTGGACAGATTCTCAGTTTGTTTTTATGACCTGCAGGTGTAAGAGCATTAGCTCTGTTTCTTGTCTGTGAAAGGTGGATAGAGATAACACTTTCCTTGGTGATTTCACTTCCAGCACAGGAAAGCACTCTTAGCTTGCCCATTGCTGAAGGGTAGAAGCCATCCCTAACAGAAAGGCTACCCTCTGTCTGAGATCTGCCACCCATAGACTGTAAGCTATTTTATTTCCAATACTAAATGAAATGGATCTTTAAAGTGTGGTCTCTAGGTCAGCAGTGTGAGTATCACTTGGTAAAATCTCAGTTCACTTCCAGACACTTTCAGTTTGTCTTCTACTGTGCCGCCTAGATGACTCTGATGCTGGCAAAGTTTGAGGCCCCCAGTAGCACAGAAAGACTCCCTGGTTAATAGAGTTCTTACCAAACATGCATGAAATCCTGGGTTCTACCCTCAGTACCAAAGAATCTGGGTGTGATAGCATATGCTTAGGGTCCCAACACTTGAGAGGGGAAAATAGGAGATTCAGAAATTCAAGGTCATCCTCTGCCACATAGTGATACTAGGCCAATCTGGGATACATGAGGCCCTGTCTTAAAGACAATGACAGCATCAACAAAACGCCTGTCAAGTAGGGTCTGTATAGGCCCATGATACTAGCTTCTCTGGAGTCAGAGGCAGAGTAATTTCAAGACAATTTGGGTTATTTAATGAAACTCTGTCTCAAAATTAAAATTACATAAGAGCAAAAAGGTTTGAAAATGAAACAGAGCACTGATCAGTGCGTAGGAGGCCCTGGATTCAGTTCTCAGCACCCAATAAGAAATGGACAAGAGAAACACCTGTCATTGGTCTGAGACCTGACAGCTAAGGATGTCCTCATGATGTCTCCCTCATCTCCATATCCCATATCTCTCCACTAAGTCCCACGGGGACAAAAGCTCTGGGGGGGGTGACTAATTGCATAGCTCACAGAAATGAATTTGGGACCCAGGATTATTTCCATAAAGCTATATTTTAACTTCTGTGCCTGTCGGGTGACACAAACCATGAATGTTCAGCTTTGGGAACACACTGTGTCAAGCACCATGCTCCACTTCTCCTTAAACTTTTAGCATTCCTTGCCTTTTCCCAGGAACCCCAGGTTTTCCAGGGAGGTGGCAGATAGCAACAACTATAGAAACCATAGATGCTTATGTCTCACAGTCCTAGAGATGAAGCAGTTCCTCCAGCCACGTACTAATACTATGGATATTTTGCAGATGACCTGAGTGTTAGAGAAGTTAGCTAGCCTGAACATAGTCATGCAGAAAATGCTGAAGCTGAGGTTTGTTTTTGAGACAGGGTCTCATGAAGCTCAGGCCATCCTTGAACTTGGTACGTAGCTAAGGATCCTCCTGCCTCCATCTCCCAAGTGTTGGGTTTATAGTCATGCACTACCATGACCAGTTCATATGGAGCTGAGAGTGTGTGTATCCTAGGCAGACATTCCGCTAATGGAGCTGCAGCCCTAGCCTGAAACTGAGGTATAAATGGATGGAACATCTGCCTGTCTCTCTTTCAAAATAAATGCTGTGCTGAATCTACTCTCTGTTCCATGCCATAGGAAGACTAGGTTAGCTCTATCCATCCCCCCTCCACCACTTTTTTTTTCCAGAGAAGGTTCCTAGTTGTTTAGTGTGTGAAGAGCAGTATTATTATAGGCATGGCAATTGACACAGATAGATAGCTAAGCCCTGGGCTGTGCTCCAGAGGACCTGATAGGAAAATGTGTGAACAAAAGAGATTGTTCTTGGATGAGTCCTAAAAAAAACCAACCACGATGCATTTAACAGATGGACTTAGGCAGAGGTCAGCCAGAAAGTGTCTCCCCCCATGTCCAGCCTTCTTTCCTGGGATTGCTTTGCTCAGGCAGAGGGAAACAGCTTCAGGAACCTGTTCTGACTCTTCAGCAGCCTGCCAGGTGACTGAGCAGCAATAATCTCCAAGGTTGGGTTGTTGTGAGCTCCCACCATGCTCCTGTGCACTGTCTACAGAAGACCCCTGACTACTGGATCTTTCCAGGGCTTGTCTAGGTCTTGGGTTCCTTTTGATAGTGTCTAAGTTCTGTCAAGACCCTGTGACAAAGTGCCCAGAAATCTTACCTTGAGTCCAGGCAAGTCTGTCTCCCTTGGGCTCTGGCAGTTTCTGCAGCTGCTTTGGAAATTTAAAAACACAGGGAAGAAATTTTAGGTTTCTCTTTCGGGCTCCAAAGTCCTCCTTGCAGTTTCACCGAGAGCCAATGAATATAACGTCAGGCTCCCACCTGGAGTTTATCTGCCCCTCAGAGTATTTATGGCCTTGTCCAACATAAGATTCTGTGGGAGCATTCCTTCCAAAGTCTGTCTTTGAGAAAGTGTCACATGCAGAATGTCAGAGTGATTGCACTTGGAGATAGGGACCTTATAAAAAGGATTTAAGTTCCAATGAAGTGATCAGAATGGGATCTGAACCAGCATGAATGGTGTCCTTATAAAAAGCAGATCTATATCATGCCAGTAGTCATGAGTCCAAGGCATGGTGTGTGTGTGTGTGTGTGTGTGTGTGTGTGTGTGTGTGGTAGTAGTAGTAGTAGTAGTCACTGGACCAGAACTGATATGAATGTTTTAATAAGGAATATACACTGTGGATAGAAACATGGAGGGGAAGGGAGGGAGGGAGAGGAGAGAAAGAGAAAGTGGGGAGGGAGATGGGGAAGGAGACAGGGAGAAGGAGAGAGAACAAATTGCACCCCTAATGGGGAATGGCCCCTTTTTATGACAGTCTGGAGGAGTTATCTGGCCTTGCCTTAGGTTGTTTGTGTGGCATTACATTGGGAGAGGTTGTAGGTTGGCAGCTCACTGTCTTATTGAGTAGTAATTTTACATCACACCAATCATTTTCCCAAGACCAGCTGTATGGGTGAGGTACCAGGGCTCTTGAGGAGTCAGGTTGAAGTTATTTGTTGAAGACATCCCAAGCCAGGGTAGGCTCCAGGCTCTGGTGTCTGATTGTTGGGGTAAGGGATTTTGATTTTGATTTTTGACCTTTTAGTTTTTTTTTTTTACCTTTTTTATTCCATTTATAGAGTTTTTCCCCCTAGACAATATATTTTGATCTTTTTTTGTCTTACAATCCCTCCCCAATCCTCCCCACCTCCCTATCCTTCGAACTTTATATTCTTTTTCTTTCTCTCTTAAAAGAAAACAAATACATTCATAAAAAGGAAAAACACATATATACAAGCAAAAGACCAATAAGATAATAAATGTCCCAATAAAGCAAAAAGTACAAAAATACAACTGAGTTTGTTTTGTGTTGGCCAACTACTCCTGGGCATGGGGCCTACCCTGAAATGTGGTTAACATAGCCAGTGAGATGTCAC